CTTATATTTATTTGAAATATGTCTGATATCCTTATTTAACCTCTTAAGTGCCTATTGTGAGATGCCTTTGATGCAAAACAGGTAGGAAAAAGTCTGCTTTAATATCAGGTTGGTATGAACTGGAAATATGCACAGATTGCTGCAGTGAGGGAGATTGTGGGATGGAAGAAACTATAGTTCATGTGTCTGATATTCATTTAAATATCTGAGCTTCTGAATTTCACAATTGATTAGTTTCTAATTTTGTTTTAAACATGCCCCACTCAGCTTTATCACTAATATTCTAATATATTACTTTATTGCTAAGTACTAATTTTCCTCTTAAAATAAGTTTGGGATTAACAAATGAATAAAAAATGAGCTAGTGCGGAATCAGTGGCTGTTGTGCTAGTAAGATGAAGCTAAGGCAGCTCTGGAAAGTTTTGCTGAAGAAAGGGCTCTTGATATGCGCAGAGAACAGCCTTGATGAATAAAATAGAAAGTCAGAACTTCCAGAGGTGGGGATGAAACATGGGTGAGGTGGAAAACTGAACTTAAAGAGAATGAGAGTGAGTGATGAAGGAGGAAAACAAGTAGTAAAGAGATCTGCATGTAATAAGAAGAGGCTGGGATTTAATACAAAGAGTGATGTAATTGTAGTAAAGGCTGGTATTTCCAACAGTGATAAAACAGTAAGATCAGGCTTTTGTGCAGCTGGAGTTGAGATGTTGATAGCTATTTGGGGATGAGTAGGGGATATGAATAAAGTTTAAGGGATTAAATAGGGTTTGAGTAGTCAAGAATAAAAATGCAGTTTGGGGAATAATCAGTGTCAAGAAGGTAGCATAAGCCATTAATGCCTCCCCCCCAAAAAAGTTTGTGTGAGAAGAGAGAATTGGAGGGTTGTGATTGTGATACGAGGGCTGAGTTCTGTGATATGATCCTCATGAGAAGTGGGACAAATGAAGCAAGAAAGGGAAAAAACTGAGGATAGAAAAAAAAATGTCTTGGGAATACTCACTAGAGACGAAATGAAGCATAGTAGGGTTCAGTTTTGATGATATCTCAAAAAGTGAGCTCTCTAAAGTTTGGGCCAGGGAACGTTACTTCCTCTCTTCTGTAGCTAACAAAGTAGTTGTGGTGACTAGAATGCCAATAGGATTCTGATGCTGAGAGAAAGGTAGCTCCATCTGCAAGATTGTCAAGGCAGGTTTGGTTGGGTAGATACACAAGACAGTCCCTTTTCTGTAGCAGCATCTCCACTGCAGAGGGAAGGACAGATTCCCTCCATCCCTATTAAATTTTAGAGTTGGAGTAAAAGCTGTGATGTTTCATCAGGCCTTTGATGGATGTTAATATTGTTTGGGCCCATTTTAAAGAATGTAATGTTTCTCTTTGTGTTCATTATAATTTGAGTGTATTTCTTGTTCCGAAGTGTGCATCACTTGGATACTTTGGGGGGAAGTAAAGTAAATAAATACTATGAATGAATGGAGATACTCCCTGTACTTGGAACGCCCTGCCCCCTGGAAACCATAGTTTGAGAACTACATACTGCACTTTTCATGCAAAATTACTGTGTATACATGTGCAAATATCTAATTTTTGTTTTGAAACTTAGCAGCTTTTAACTATAAGCTACAAGATAATTATAATAATTCTAATTTTTGGCAGTTTAAGTTACAATGCCATTTTCTTTTGTAGGAAGGGAAGTTGGATTATATGGAAAAGTTCAAGCAAAAATGGGTGTAAGCATTCTCCCTGAATAAAAAATGAGAGGGGTTTTTTTGGTAAAGAAAATGTTAAGATAGATAACATATTAAGCCAATTAAAGTAATTTTGAAGAGTTAAGATTGCAGAATTGATTTGATTTAATGGTTGAGGAAAAACTGAAACTTTTAAAACTATATGTGATTGTTCATTGACTTATTTTTTAAGATTTATATGTAGTCTTTCAATTTAATGACTCTCAATGTGACTTAAAAGCAACAGTTGTAATTCAGGTAATACATGTGTCTCTGTGTATATATGCATGTATAGTTACCCTGCAGACCATAGGTCTCTGACTGACAGATGGGGCCAGCATATGCCCTCTTTCAGCTGTGGTCCCCAGACAGGTCACAGTTGAATGTTCTTTCTGGATGGGTCAATGAGTAGAGCATATTCCCTGTAGTTACTCCTCTGACATGTTGATGGGATATGGGCAATCTTCCCTTTACCATGTTATTCTACCTAGGAGACAAAGTGGTACAGTTTGTTTTAGGGGAGAAGGTATGCTTCCATTCAAATGTCACTTCAGTATAATTTGCATGGACTTTGATGTGGAAACTCTGTTTTGCAATGAATTACTTTTAATTAAAAATAAAGATATGTAACAGGGCTTGTTCCTTTTTAGATGAATAACTTGCAGGGGTGTGTCAGTGAGAATAATACTAGATAAAACCTCCCTTCCAACAATTATTTTATATTGAGATTACTGCAGGGATATGGCAATTAAAATACAACTCACTAAGTGAATAATGTATCTAAGAGTGCAGCGTGCTGCACAGTTATTCTTATAAAGACCTTGGAAGATAGGGCAGCATTGTCTCCATAAGACTTCAGCTTTGTCTCCATGAAGTTGATGGCTGAGGAGCAATTGGAGCTGAGAACTTTCTGGCTCCCTTTTAGCCACTGCTCCGCAAATAACAGCTGCATCAGAAATGCTTATACTAAGGCCCATGTGAGCATCACAGTTATCTTATGGTTTTCTTTCAAGAAGAAAAATTACTTCTTTTTGGACACAATTCAATCTAGTGAGTACCATTATATTTTTATTTTATTCAATTTATTTTTATTTCACTTTCTCACAAATGTATCAAAGAAGGGCATAATTATTCAAGCAGAATCAATATATAAAAGCAATGAAATCAATCTAACAATACACAAAAAGCAGTCTGTGGTCTTAAAGCAACATTAGGATGACTTCGAGTAGTGGTGAGCAATTTGTGACTTTCAGGTGTTTTGTCCTACAATTCTCACCAGCACATTCAAGTAGAGCCAATGCAAGCAATGATGGGTTGTAGGCCAAAGCAGCTGGAGGGCTGCAAGTTGTCCACTCCTCCTTTAGAACAACAAATAAAGCACCAAATGCTTGTTGAGATAGATTTGTAATGCTTGCCTGAAAAAATGAAGAGGGCATGTATCAGATTTTTCCAGGGAGCAATTCCATAACTGAGGTGTCAGCACTGAAGGGGCCCTGTTTAGGTACCCATTCATTAAATTTCCAGTAAGATGACCTACGTGAACAAAGACTTAGATAACATACTTAAGAACTGGGTAGGCTCCTATGGGTAAAGTCAGGGTTTGACTGGGGTCAGGTCCTCAGTCTTCAGGTCAATACGCTCAGCTTGAAGAACCTGGGAACAATACTGCTTATACTGCCTCCCCTTACCAGTGCCTTGGAGTATATTTTCCTGATGTTCACTGGGCAAGAGAGCAGGCAGCAAAACCAAACAAATTGGCAGGAGTATAGATCTGACTCTAGGCCTGCAGAACCTCCAGATCTTGTACAAATACACTATAGATTCTTAGTGCTTTTGTGGCAGCCACTGTGTATCTCTTCATGCTTTCAAGAAGAGTTTTGATCATCTGAACAACATTCCACCACATTCTTACTTGTATTTGTGATGGAATTCAGCATAAGCTGTATTAATTCAGCAAGAGTGGTTCACTAACTTCAGATAAATAATCAACTGTTGCTTGGTTAATATGTACAGTCAACACTGGTGTAATAACACACAATTGACTCAGTAGAACCAGGCTTGGCATACTCTTGTCTACAGTAGAATAATGCTCAGCCAACCACATCTGTGTAAATATTAGGCTTTTCCATGTGACCAGAACATATACAGCTCAGTGGCTGAGCACGTGCTTTGCATACAGAACAGGAATGGGGAACATGTGACCTTCCAGATGTTGTTGGATTGCAAATACATCAGCTCTCAGCATTGGCCATGCTGAATAGGGCTGATGTGACTTAAACAATATCTGATGGGCTTACATTCCCCAGACCTGATGTAGAATGTCTCAAGTTCTACCTTGGAATAGTTTTTTAAAGTATGATGCTCTGTAATTATTATTAATACTGCCTGCCCTTGCCCCACCTCCTTTAATTAATACATGGAGACTAAACCATAAGATTACAGTGACATAGGTTCAAGGACACAAGCTTCTTTAACGACAGTTTTTTGTAATATTCTCTTTCTGCAGATAAGACCTTAATGAGAGGTGTCAGGCCCACAAACACCCATCACAAAATACTGAACTAACCAAAACCACAAAATTTATCTCTGAAATCTTACACAGTAGTATATTCATTCCTCCCTGGTACAAAAAGAATAGAATGTTTTCTTTAATTAGCTAGATGAAGGATAGCACATCAGCTATCAAATTGCATTATAGAACTCTAATATAGTAGAATCATTAGTAATTAAACTGTTGTGTGCTTTCTATCTGATCATAGACTATTATGGAAATTAAATAGAGGAATCCTTTCTGGAAAAGGGAACTGTCTTATCCAAGTCAAACCACCGGTCCAGCGAGCCCAGTAGTGTCAACTGCCAGTGGCAGCAGCACTCCAAGGTCTCAGGCAGAGGTAGAGCATCCTACTCTATATAACCCAAATTTTCTAGTTACCAAGATTTTTTTAACAGCTGACTTGAGTTTTGAGCACAGCAGTTCCTGCATAAGAATATTTTGACATGCCCACTAGCAGTAATTTGACATCTGCCATGTTCACAGTAATGACATGTAATTTATGTCAACCCCATGCAACTAAAATATGCAAATTAGCTTCTGCTAATGTGAAATTCCTAATATGACTCTCTGTATTGAGCAGGTTGTTGCTAGCCATTTTTAAGAGAGCCAACCTTGCAGGCTAAAAACCTCTTGAACAGGCCTTGGACCCTTTCCCATTATTGGGCTCATGACTTCCATCAATCTGCAACTTAATTTCTTTTTGTGTGTGTGTGTGTATTTAGGATGCAAATGAAGACCCTGGGGAAGATGTCGCTCTTCTTTCAGTGAGCTTTGAGGACACTGAAGCTACTCAGGTTTTCCCCAAATTATATCTGTCTCCACGAATTGAACAGTAAGTGCAGCACCTCATATATAATATTCTCATAACACTTAATTTTACCTCTCATTGTTTATGTAGGAAGTTTGAAGCATCATAGAATTGCTTTGATTTTTAATTGGCAGAAGGCAATATGATAATTAAACGTCTATGCTGGTAAAGTCAGGTGGTTACTCTTGTCAGTTCTGTCTTGAAGTGCGTATTATAACTGAGCCATCAATGGCAGTCCTGTAAGTAGCCTTCAGTTTCCAGAAATGATATTTACTGATGATTCCATCCATTTCCTGTTGGCACATATTTCATTGATGACCCCACCCCTCCATTGATGTGCATATTGGCTTAATTTGGGGAAAATATAAATGGCATTAACAGCCTGATTCTGCACACCTTACAAAACAGCTCCTGCTTGCATTGATGCAACCTGGTCAGCCATTACCAGTAAGGACTCTATGTAGCAAGGAGAGCAAAAAGGAGCAAAAATGACTATTCTGTAACTCCCCAGTAACCAGCAACTCTAACAGCTAGTCATGAAAGTGCTGAGTGTAATCCATCAATCGTGTAACTACATAGAGTTCAGCCGCCTGCTTATCTGGTGGCTCATTTTGTTTCCATGTGTTCAGTGCTTTCCTCAGAGGAAGGAGAATATATAGGTCCCGTGGTTTGCGTGCAGAAGGTCCAGTCCCTTCCATCTCCAGACAGCTGCAAATACCCTTGGCTAAACCCTTGCCTAATGGAGAACAATTGCCAGTCAATGTCAACCACTCTGTCTTTGGCTGTGGACACGTATGTGTGCACAAATCCTTTCTGTCCTCCTTTTCACTGTTCTCATCAGCGATTTTTCTTTAAATCTTATGTAGAGAGCAGGATGGGAACAGAGTGATGTGACTTCATGTTGTGGATTTGAATATGTGATGTATATTTCCCTCCTGTACCCTATACGTTACGAAGTGCTATACTTTGTGCTGTTGGAGTTGAATAAGTATATTCCATTAGTGCAGTCGGAGAATAAGACTTTAACATTGCATGTTGAAAGTTGTCACACACTATATCCAGGACATCATACCAGAATTGAATTGGTAACATTTTTTATGCTAGGGAATGTGACCTAGTAAGAAACGATGGTATACTCCAGGCATTGTGAGCCGATCAGAATGCTTTGACTATTGGGCAGTGTAGAAATGAAGTTGTTGTTTTTCACAACAACATTAGCCATGATAAGATTGTGAGCAGACAGTTGTGCACTTTACCTGGTCAAGAATGGGATTAGGAAAGGCTATAGCTGGATATAATAAGCATATCAACAATAGTGTTTTGTTTTTGTTTTTTTGGGTGATGATCCTGCTAAATAAAATGACAAATAACTAGCTACCATCCCAGTTCTTGTGTGTCTACATTTACTTTTGTACTGTGCAGGTGTGGCACATAACCTGATTGCCTCTTGGTGGTTCAACATAGTTTCACGTAACTGTATAACTGCAACATAGTCATATGATTTGCATGATCACTGCAGCCCACAATGGCTTATTAGCAACAGAGGGTTGCAGCACAAACGCAGTCTGGTGATGGTTGTTGGGGTGGTTGCCAAGCCACTCAAAATTCAGGGGCTGTTTTACAATTGCTTGTCAACCACCCGACAACGCAGCATCACTGCTGTTTTTGTACTTAACAAGTTACACTGTCCCCCAGCTTGAATATTCAGAATAGTAGCAGCCACTGGAGGAAGAAGGCCACTGGGAAATTCACCCACAATGGCTTCTTTACATGCAAACCAAGACAGTGTGCTGTATTCTGTAAATGCAAGGATTGCTTATATTTAATTATATCCTTTTACTCCAGTATTTAATGAGGAAGAGGTTCAAACTGTTTGCTTGTTTGAGTGTCTCAAATATGTTTCCCCTGGAAGTGCTCTAGAGCAATAGGAAGCTTTCCAGATTTTGCAATATTTCAGGCTACCTATAAGAATGTATTAATTAAACTTCAGCCAGGAATTTCCAGTCTAATAAGGTATTTATCCAAGCACATATCAGAATATTTCAGTTTATAGTTATTAAAATATATAATTATTCTACAGGGTACTTAAACAGATTTTCAATTAAACTAATTTTCCTCCTAAAATGGAAGCATTAGAGAGAAAAATCCACTGTCCTCATTAGATTTCCCTTCTTCCATTTTTGGAGCTGAGTACATCTCAGTTCTCTTTCTAAGGTCCCTCTTTCTGCTTTAGTTTTGAAATGTCTGCTTCAGAGCTTCAGGCTTACATGTACTTTACCTCAGAGATAAGCATTCATAGGAAAAGTTCTTGTTTTGCTCTATATCTTAACAAATGAGACCTTCCAAGAAGAAAGTAACATTGTGAAACTGGAAGAGAGCTTCTAAAGTTCCTGTCACAAACTAGGTTTCCCCATTTATACTTCCAAAACAACAGATGTTTCTTTGGTGAAAGTTCTTTAGTCTCCAGTACATTTCTGTTAATTACAACCAACAAAGAATGAGCCTCTGTGGATGCACAGAGCAGTTAATTGAACCCAGTCTACTTCCAAGCATCCTCCTTTTGAGTACCCCTGGGGCCCTTCCTCTGGGATGTCCCCTCTGGATACAGGGAAGCCTCTTCTCTATCATCCATCTAGTTGGTTGGCCTATCTCCTCCGATGTATAATCATAGGGTCAAGATTTGTGTCAGGCTTGGCTGGCTGCAGGTGTCCTTCTCCCATGCCCCTTCCTTGCAGTTGTAAATCCTGACTGTTCTCAGTGTCCATCTGGACACCTAGGAAGGGTTTCCTTGAGATAAGCTCTTCTGAGATACTGCTTCTTCCATTTCAGCACCTCAGAGTTATGGCTCCCAGGGCTCCTCCTCATTTGATAAGTCCAAATTTGCTTGACCGTGGAACATCTGCCAAGAATAATTGGCCCTTTCATTCCCATCAATATCCTTAGATGGGCAAGGTAGTTAAGATGGCGAACCTGGTTACACAAATGCCAAGTTTAAGCTATTAAAAGAAAGACTTGGTTTCAGGAAAGTAGTTTTGAAAAAGTCAAAGTATTCATTTATTTTTAAACAAATAGTCGGGTTGCAATCCAGTACAAACTTCAGGGAGTAAGTCCCATTAAATGCATTGCATCTTACTTATGAATAGACAGTATAGGAATACTTTGTCAGTGTACACATACTTGGATTGTGAATTCCTTAGATACACAACCCTGAGACAATTACCAAAAAGAAAAAAAAGCCAAGAATCAAAAACTTAATAGTAACCTTTGTTACACTCTTTAGAAGTACTCTAGGACATAGTTTTTATTTCATTTCTAAACTGCTCCATAGTCAAAGCTTGCTGAGCAATTTACAACAATCCAGTTTTGCTGTTTGAGTCTTAGGTGGTGACTGTTACCAGATGTGCTGGGATATTCAGCTTTGTGTGGTATACCCTCTGTGCCTTCTCCTGAGAAATAGTGGTCACCACAATACATGTTCCAATAACTTATAATAATTGTGGTGCATTTGCTATGGAGCTGTTTTTTACAGAAATGTCCAGATGGCTGTAGATGAAGATAACTTAGCTTCAGTTCACAAATGATTACATAGCTGGCTCACGAGTTTTAGTTCAAAGTGTTGGTTTTACCTGTTCAAATCATAAATGGTCTGACTTCAGGATATCTGAAGGAATTCTTCCCACCTTCCATCATACTCATTTGTATGCTTTCAGATCTGTAACACCTTCCAAAGTGTTGCAAATCAAAACCAGAAAGGTGCACATTGGATGGACTAGTTTAAGTAGTATAACTACTTCTCAGGAGCCTCAAAATATCATGAAATGTTGCAGGAGACAGTTTGGTTTCTTTTCTGAATTACTCTTGCTGAACAATGTTAATACTTGAAAATTATGCATCTTGAAATTTGCATACTTTTTGAGACCTGTCCCCTTTGCTTCCTGCACTTGGTGCCTTCCCTTCTTCCTTTTGCAGATGAGAACTAGCTTTTCCATGGTGTTACCTGCTCTTTGGAATACTCTGCTGAGAGGTGCTTGGCAGGTTTCCTCCCTCCCTATTCTTAGAAGGCTGATCAGAATAATGTATTAAGGAAGGCTTTAATGGCCTGGTTGTTCTTACATCTTGTGCTGTTTTGTATTTGGTTCCTTCTAGTCTTGTTTTATTATTCTATTTGATTTTAAATTGGTTCAGTGCCATATGTTAGGCCAAGTAGATGTAATAAACAGATAGTTGACTTGAGATATTTTTTGTCCAATATCTGGGCAAATTAAAATCTGGGGAAGCCAGGCCAAGAGGAAACTAATCAACATGGAAAAGCAGGGCAGATAATTAGACTTTGGAATGTAGCTAATAGAAGTCAAGGGACATGAGAGAGCAATAAAGGGAAAAATTTGGCAGGTTTGGAGATGGAGATACAGGACAAGGAACAATAATGACCTATAGCTACAAACATTTCAACGGCTGTTAGAAACTAGAGTAAATAACTTTGTAATGGGAGAAGCCTACTAAAATCCAGCACAACAGGAATTGAGGGGTAATTCTTGACATAACTAAGGGCCAAATGATGAATGTGACTCTAAATATGTTTAGTTGCATCTAGCAGGCATATTTTAACAAATGCAGATGTAGTAGCAATAGAGGGGAGATAATGATCAGGATGGCAGCAGATGGGAAAGCAAATCTCCTTTCCCTCCATGCTGTGATCCTGACAAAAATAAGTCCTCCCAAGCTGGTACTTGCATTGGAAGAACTCTTGTTAGCACCAGGACCACAGCAGGAAAGGAAAGGGTTGAACTTCTCCAACCCACTTGTTGTATTTTTCATAATTATCACCCTTTATCCATGTGCCTTATGGCAGCTGTTGCCCATTGTCAGGTTGACCATCTGGTCCATGTTAGACTTGTTTATCAAAAAGTATCAGTCAAGCACCTTTAAAGATTTAATTTTATATCTTATATAAAGTAAATTAAGCAGTTAATAGCACCGTCACGTGAAAAGGTTAGCTTAGATGCATGCCTCAAGATTATTTT